TAGCACGATAGTAGCGACCTACATTATAAAGAAGAATACTTTCCTGTGTTTATTAAACAAGATATTAGCTGTGCGACTAAGTCCGGTCTCTCTTGTTACAATGTATGTATAAATTATTAAAATAAACAGATAAAAAGTATTTTGTAACGAATACTTATTTTATTTGCCAAATAAATGTCAGTTCAAAGAGTTCTTTTTAGCCGATCAAGTTGTTTTACTCAATCGAGTTGTTTTCTTCCGTCCATCTAAATTGATTTTCTCACATAGCGTGATGAATGTGTGTCAAATATATTTAAAAAAACAATCGATATGTGTGTGTGTGTGTACACACATTTTTTACTTCTCAGAAAATTGCTTTTATACTTTTATTAGATTCATTACATAGTTTTGCATTAGCTATATGTACGATGACGAGATAAATGCTCGACCGTCATGAGTGATTAATTGCAATTTCTTTGTGCAAAAGTAAACCAAAAAATTACGCGTACAATACAAACGGAAAATTACTGATACATCTTAATAAACACCGATAGTTAAGAAGGTTAATGCAATATGTGTTAACGCGCGGTCTCGTGTGCGTGAAGATGCCTCGTTTGAGATAACATTATAAAAACGGGACGTTTTCGATCTTCGCTCAAGTTTCTCCGCAATTGAAGAGAGCACCAAGTCGATTCAGTTTGTCTTTATTCTTCGTTTAAAGAAGATCGGACCGCGTGTGGTGAGCAAAACGCTCTATTTTATTTATCGACACAATCAACTAACACGTCTTGACATTAAAAGAGTCACGTGTTTGTTTACATTGATCTTCTTGACGTTACTTCGTTTATTTGAGTGAAAATGTTCGCGTATTAACTACGTCTGAAACCATAATACCATTCCATCGAATTCACTTAGGAATATTGAAAGAAAATTGAATGACACGCCGCGCTCGAGCCAGAAACAAAGATTAGTACCGGTCGGAGAAATTACAGCAATATACGCGGTTCAGTCATTCGGTGAATTTTCTGACACGCGCAGGTTTGAGTTTTTTTTTCTCATCGATGTTGCCGCGAAAAAGTTCTCGGGATTTTCGAGACATGAAAACGCACAGAGTAAAAAAATTCAAATCGCCTAACTCGAAACGTGGTGAGACACATCGACGTCTGTAATAATCAATCAGTCTTTTTTACTCAATCTTAAGTGAATTTAAATTTTTTGCACGTTTGTTTCTTATAGATGCAAGATGTCATAAATGTTTGACGTTTGGTATAAAAAAATATATAAGCAAATGGTTACACTTTTATTGCGAAAATACGAGTCTGCACGGTTTTCGGTACATATCAATGGCCAGATCGACAATATTCGAGGCTATGTTTTGGTTTGTGGTGAGCAATTTTTGATATTGTTTAGTGAAAACGATCCGAATACTCTATGTATTTGCTTACAAGAAAAAAAAATATAATGCTACAATTTGCAATTGAATTTTATAGATTTGCGTACTCTCCATCGTATTCTGCGTCATACTTATGTTACGTTTATGGACCAATTATTCGAACAATCCCATAGCGACGACCATCGACACGTCGAATCCGATAACGGAAGTGTCCTTTCCCGGTATTACAATATGCAACAACAATAAGGTTTATCGTCCACGAGCCGACGTTATCGCCCAAATGTTGTAAGAGACACGCGCGCATATTATTTATCTTGCATAGAAAGTCACGTCAATTATAAAATCTTCGAAATAATGTGAACAAAATTGTAAATTTTCAAAATATTTTTCGCACAAAATAATTTCGCGCGATCAACAGGTACAACAACGGATTCACGAGGGAAGAGAGCGAAAAGTTTTTCTCTTCTCTCCCGAAACTGATACGACCCGATAAAATCCCAATCGACAATGTAACAGCGTTACAAGTTCTCGACAATCTTGGTATGAACGTGGAAACGCTTATGGAGCAGGTACTCGAGTGTGTCCGTAAAAGAGAATTCGATCATAGAGTAAATCTTATTTCGTAGATGCAAGTCGAAACGCAAACTTTCAAAAATTTAATTTAATTAATAATTCTTGATGTTATTAACAATAAAATATTGCTCGCAGTTAATGCAACCTTGCAGCGCGTTGCTGGTGAGATGCTCTTGGATCGGGCAGCTTTACGATTGCAACAAGATCTTTAAAACTGTCAAGTCTAAAGAGGGCTTCTGTTGCGCGTTCAATTCTCACTACAACTTAAACCTCGGACACAAGTAATTTCAACAAAACATATTACGAATAATATATTTTAAGTTGAATTATATTGTCATTTTTTTTTTTTTTTCTAAACAGTGAACACATAAACGACACGCGCTACGACAACAATTTCACCGAGTCCAACGTTACCTTCTCCACGAATTTGCCGGGTGTGGAAAATATTCTGGTAATTTGTTATTTTTCGTAATTAATTTTCGAAAAAATCGATCATCGCATCAAGAGTGAAATCGCGTTTGCAGAGGTCGCCAGGTAGCGGTCGGGACATCGGGCTTTCGGTCGCTCTGAATGTCGAGCGTGTCATGTACAAGGCGGCTTCGCGACCTCACATAGGTGCTTCTGTATTGATACACGATCCGATCGATTTTCCGGACATCGGCGCGCAAGTCGCGTCCGCGCTACCCGGTCACGTTCTGTCGATATCCGTTTCCTGCACTTCGATCACCAGCATGGACAGTTTGCGGAGTCTTCCTATCGGGAAGCGTTTGTGCTACTTTGACGAGGAGGTAAAACTGCGCGCACGCCGTCTCAAAATTTTACGATCACGCGTGATATAACATCGGCATCGGTTTTGCGCGCGGGACATATCGAATTTTTATAAATTTTATTTATGTGAACGATACCCGCAGGTTGCGAATGAAATTCGTTATAGCCACCAATCGTGCATATCATCGTGCATGGGCAAACACATAAAACGCGCATGCGGTTGCTTGCCGTTTTATTATCCGGAGATAGGTAAGGATTCTTCATGCGCGCGAGAGTATAAAACTCTCGGTTATACGCGCAGATGTTTTATTCATACATGAGTTTTAGTAGATTTTTAATACAGTTTCTTTATGAGCGACTGCTGTGTAAAAAATTTATAAATTTTTTAACATGTTAATAGAGGGAGTGAGAACGTGCTACTTACCCGACATAGAGTGCCTTTTGAACCTCCGGAGTAAGGAAATTATTAATCGATCACTTTACGTGTCATGTATCTCAATAACACGTCGATAAATCTAATCGGAAGCAATGTGTCTGATTTATAGAGATACATACTAACGAAAGCAGCTCGCGCAAGGGGCGTCGCGATCGACGCTTTGATCCCTCGACCCCCGACTTCGTGAAAAGAATAGCGAGGTGTCGGAACTGTCTGCCGCAATGTACCGATCTGACATATCGCTGCAATGTAGAAAGCAATGTGATTGATGACATAGGGTTCGATTCCGATATAACGTGAGTCTATTATGAATTTCAGAACGCAGCAAAACTTTTCCTCGTGATAAAGAGTCCGTTATTCCTTTTTTTTTTCTGTTATTTTGTATAATGCTCGTACGCAGAGGAGCTAATTAGATTTTCTATTGTTGCAGACGCGATCTGGATATACATAATATATCCTTTGTGCACGTATTTTTCGGCGACGTGTCGTACGTCGACTATCGCAAAGAGAGCACCATTAGTTGGGACGCGCTGCTCGGTAAGTCTATATCGCGCGAACATCCGCGAACATTCGCGCGGCTCGATTTAATTTAATAATAACGAAGAAAATTGCTCCCCCTCTTCAGCGTCTTTTGGCGGTATCTTCGGTCTCTGCCTCGGCGGTTCCGTGATCAGCGTGATAGAAGTGATTTACCTTCTGTTGCAAAAAATTCTCAAGCGGTCGGCGCGCAAGCGGCAAGAAAAATCTCGCAAGCGTTTGCCGCCGGCGTCCGAAATATTTCTGTCGATTCCCGTGGACAGGGCGCAAAAACCGCAAAGCCGGGAGGAGTTCAACGACAAGCGTGTGTTTGTCACTTGGTATCAGCCGGCCTGCCATAAAGAAACGAGCGACTACGGATATCGCCAGCAGCACGTCAAGTTTTAAAAAACTCTCCTCTTGAACTTTAATCTAGTCAATTATCTCGCGACGAAGATAAGGAGTTAACAGATATCAATAAATTTCTTTAGAATTATAAGGAACACGAGCGAACATGCTTTTATAGAGGTAAGAAAAATCAATATTTAATTAAAACAATATTTAAGAAAAATATTGAAAATATTTATATATATTGTAATATTTTAATAATCTGATGCAAAATATATACACACATATATATACACATATATATAATTGTGCTTGTTATATCCAATAAACAATACAATATATAACAATAATATGAAAAGAAAATGTATAAAGAATTCTTGAAAAAAAAAAAAAAAAAAAACATCGGTTTGCGTGCAATGTGTTTTTGTGAGTTTATTCTTACAATGTAAACAACTCATACAATCGGAATACAACGTATGTGTGTGACGATTCTGCAAGAAAAAAAAATACTATAATACAAATATTTCGCACTTCGGTTTGCACTCCGGTTGTTGCCGGTAACAGGCTCGCGCTCTCGCGCGAGTTCTCCTGATAACGCGTTCCGGCACCAGCATGTGTTTTATATGTACCAGAAAACAAGGGCTCAGCAGGCAGTATAGTATGAAATTTGTCGAGCTTGATAGCGCGTTGAGGAGGGTCGCCCATACGCGAAATCTGTGGAAATAAACGAATAAAAAAAGCTAAAAACGAGCGCAATGTAGTGTGGATTTCTTTTTGTCGATCAACGTACGATCAATTTACTCTAACGCGACTTTGATGTCACGCATATACTTGTTTCGCTCGGAAATTATACGGCAATGCTCTCCGGATCGAGCAGTTTTTATCAACGTCCTTGAAAATTCACGTAAAGTCTCACGATGTGCTTTACGACCGATATCTAACGATCGACGCGACTTCCATCAGGGCGGGATATTGCGTACACAATACTCACGCTTCCATGAAGGCCTCTTGAACTTTGAAGGGATCGCCACCGTAAAGCAAAGACACGGCACTGCGGCGGGATGCCAAATGGGTTGGCAGCTCGCCCACGAGGAACAGGAAAACAATGCCGACCAGCATGATCGTAAGCCGCGCTTGAGCCTAACAACACCAACACGATATAAAGCACGGTAGCGATCTCGAATTTCTCTGTCATTGATTAAACAACGCCGCCAAAACATTTTCATTAACTTGGCGCGTTAATAAAAATCGTCCCGCGCGAAATCTATTTTTTTGCCGAGTGTAATTAATAAACCGTTGTAAAAAAAACTGCATGATTCATTCGTCGTCACCGGGGAAAAGGATAAATTATTGGCGCGCGCGGGTCATTTTCAAAAACGACGAGAAAAATTTATAATAATTATTCTCGCAAAAAAAAAATAAAACCATAACCGCACGTTGTTGTTGTCGGTTTTTCGAGCAAACTTTTCCAATTACGCGTGACAACAATGACACACACACACGCACACACACTCTCTCTCTCTCTCTCTCTCTCTCTCTCGGTGTGCGAGAGTGTCTGTTTTCAGAGGATATACCACTTCGGCCTCCCGATGAGTTTCATGCAAATCTCGCCTTAAAGTGGATGGGGAAGGAAGAAGAGGATGTGGAATGTACAACGCGTTCATTCAGGGATTCCGAAGCGAGAGAATAGATTTTCTGAAGTGGCTTGCGGAACGAGCTTTCCGCAGAATCCGATTTCTCTCCAAAGTTTTCCGCGAGCATTGAGATTTCTGTCCGACAACCGAAGAGAGAGAGAGAGAGAGAAACACCGTTTTTATACCGTAAGTCGGAACTAATTTCGAATTAATTCGAAAGTCTCTCGCGACAGGTTGTTTCTCAAATCGGCGGTGGCGAGAGAACATTGAGCGTTTTCGCGCTCATTCTCCTTTGTATATATACGCACACGTTACCTGCAAAATATTTCCTTCGCGTATATTTTTACTCCTCAGCAACTCCTCTCGCTGCCTGAGAGCTTTTCTCACCGAGAACAGCATAATACCGTTTGCGACGCACAGGAAAGCGGCCGGTATCAGGCCGAACGTTACAAATTGAAACCAGTTCTGAAGATAGTACCATCTGCAAGAAAAATTGCAACTGCGGTTGCACCGTTTCGCGAGAATTTTCTTAGCCAAAATGAGCGCAACGTTTTTTGTTTTTTCTACGTACCGCGAGTGAAAAAAATCGGTCGTCACCAGATCGCCGTGTTCGTTGTACTTGTACATGAAGCAATACGGTATATTGATCAGAATGGCGAAGCAGGAGGCGAAAGTCATTAGCTTGCGCGCAACTTGCTGAGTGCAGAACTTGGGCGGTTTGCATCTCGGCATACTGCGGTGAGAATTTGGACAGCTTGTTAAAATTTCTGCCATTATTATGACTCGATTGTTTTATTATTGAGTTTCGCTTCGACCTTTGCGAGAAATCAATACACATACCGCGAAGCGTACAGTCGGATGATCACGTGGAAATGCCGAAGTTTGTTTTCAGATATTTTTTTATTTTTTTATTTTTTTACCTGCAGACTACTATCAATCTGTCGATGCTTACACCCAGCGCGGCCCAGACCGTGATGTTCGAGGTGATCGAGCCGATCGGAAAGTGTACGAACACGTCGAACTCCAGCCATCCCCTGTGGCATCGGAAAACGCCCCTGGCCAGACCGGAGAAGAGGAGCAGAAAACAGGTGACGAGATCCGAAGACGCGAGAGCTATATATATACACACACACACACACACAAAACACACATACAGAAGAAATACTTGCTATATACGCTAGAGAATAGCTGTGAAATATTTAAAGATCAATAAAGATACGAAGAACGCACACGAACGCGCGCGTCATGTGCGAGCGATGAAATAATAATATTCTCCAAAGATCGACCGTCGCGTAATTTGATTCCGAGTGGGCGGTAATTGTAATTGTGGACGATTATACGGTTGTTCTCTTCGGCATAAAGCTTAACAATAGCCGCGGAATTACAAATTCCGCGCTAATTCAATAGAACGGGACTATTGCCGGATTGTTTACGTTGTTTTGTACAACTGACCTGCTAAGTACGTGTATGTCGACGCTTTGAGAAACGTTTTCGCCTTCAGGTGGACCGCGAGAATGAGAGAGTTGCCAATTATTCCGAGCGCGGAAACTACCGGAATCACCACGCTGTATCCGATAATGGTCCAGATCGTCGGATCGGTTGTCCACAGTCCGTAAATATGGTGCAAATACTTGCCGGCGTTTTTCACGGATTTCGATCTGGAATTAATAATCGATGCAAAATGACAAACGACTCGATCCCTTTCACGACAATAAATTACAATTATAATTAAATTAAATTAATGTAATTTAATTAAATTATAATTTAATTTAATAAATTATAATTAAATTATAATTTAATTTAATAAATTATAATTAAATTATAATTTAATTTAATAAATTATAATTAAATTATAATTTAATTTAATTTAATTACATTTTTATTCTACTTTATTTTTTAATTATTATTATTATTATTTTCATTTTTTAAGTAAAAAACAGTTTTGCAATAATAGAGAGATTCGGTCTCGCTCAAGCAATAGTCGTAGATTTGAAATCGAGTGTTTCGATTTAACGAGATCTTCTCGAGCGATAATAAAGAAAAGAAGTAACTTGATGAAAACATATGTGAATCTTCAATCAATTAAAACTAATAATCCGCGAGTAGTAATTAGAACTCAGCATCCTTCTACGCGATACATAATCGCTGCAGAAACGCTCTTACCGTTTGCACAGCACGATCATATTGTGCATTTCCGTGATATTCGAGTACGTAGGCCTCATCGCACCGTGTTCGTGTCGTATTGGTGCACTCGCGACAAGAGATCTCGACCCATTTCCCTCACGCGGAGATTGTCGCGAGGGAAGAACTCGTCGATGCGAGACTCCACTCCATTCTTGAAACGTCGTCGGCGCAAGAGATGATGCTCCGCAAGAGAGAGAAAGAGAGAGAGAGAGAAAAAAAAAGAAAGAGTCAGCGAGAAAGAGGAAAACCAGCACGTCGTGTTACCTACAATTTTTCGAATCTGCTGAAGCGTTACAACCGAGACTTTGAGACTTAGAATCGCGGTCTAATGAAAGCTCCGAGACGCGCTTTATGAAAGAAATTTAATCGTTCGCTTTTGCGAACTTCAACAGAAACCTGCCGATTAACACCTGCGTCCGGGATGTAGCTACACGAGCGTGAACTCTCGTTTCGCGCGCCCGAAACGGCGCCGTAATTCTTTCAAAAGTAAATGAGTTTCGGCGATGTAATTATTCCAAAAGTTTTTCAACGAAGAACTGTACAGAAAAAAAACGATTATATTAACGTTTCGTGAACTTTATGATCCGGAATCGCACCGTCGTTTTTTAAAACGACGAGCGAAATGGATCGTGACACCCGCCGTCACGTCAACGAATCGTAAAAAATTTTCAACTCGGATCGGTTCGTCAATTTGGCGCAAATGTTAAAAAAATCTATACAAGAAATTTATATTGACGATTTTGTTAACGGCGATGATGACGTTAAAGCGTGCCGCAAAATCCATCACAATTGAAGTTTTCGTTTTTTCAGAGAAGTGTAAACAATATTCGCTCCAGTGGAAGAGATAAACACGCGCGAATAAACGTCACGTATTTCTAAAAAAAACAAAAGTGTGCAGAAGAAAAGTTTATAAATATTTCATAAATTGCTTCTGTTCTGCACGCGGTATCGCATGAATTGCACAGTTGATATTTTAAGTGCTCTTTCGCACGGACGCGCGTTTTTTAATTCGTCGTTGTATTTTTTTTTTTTTTTTTTTTTCGCAACTCTCTGCTGTTCTCATTAGAAACAAACGGCGTTACGTAATCGAGCGCGTCTTTGACCACGTTGAAATTTGATTTAAAACATGGCGTTTCTGCGTTAATACTCGCGCGTACAACTGCGTCGCGAAAACAAAACGCGAGAAGAGAAGACGCGACTTTGAGGTAAAAATCATCAATTTCCGTTAATTCGATCATCCATTTGTGCAACACTAACCGACGCGACAACAACAAATCTCTTTATCTCTCTCTCTCTTCTTGGGGAAACTCGCGCGATTCACGCCGCGCGACAAACAAAGAAAGCGGCGTCCGCTTTTCCGTGAAAAACCCCCCCAAAAAAAAAAAAACAAATCACCGAATCGCGAGCGTGCGACTTCGACACCTGTTCAGGAATACAAACGAACGGCCGATATACTGAATGTCGTCGAAATTCTCTGTGGCAAATACGAACTTTCCCCATAGTTAGGAGGGGTTTGTCCCGATAATCCACTGATAATGGATATGCAAATAATGCGTACGTGGAATGATACGCGCGTTGCGACGACCGTGAGCCGCGTCGCGATCGATCGGGGTTTGATATCGCGCGCGATATGTGCGACGCGCGGCTTCGGAAATCTCTCGCGTCGCGCATCTCGCGCGGTTCGCGAACTATCGGCGAAATTGCTGCTTCTCGTGCTTTTCGAAACCCGCTAAACCGATTGTCTTCGTCGCTAATGGTGTATATACAATTAATTAACGAGACTCTAGCGGGCTTTAAAAGCACACGCTAATTTTAGCGCGACGAAAACTCGCGACGAGTCGCGTTTTTAAAACGTGTATACGCTGCTGTTGCAAAAAAAAAACAAAAATTCTTGCACGATGCAGCCATTGAACAAGCTCGGACAAGCATTATCGATCGTTGAGAGCCACTTTTTCGGTCGCTCTACTCGTAACACATTAGTCATCAAAAATCTAGAACGCGTATGGCACGTCTGTTGTATCGCATTGTTAGTTGCCGAGAGGGAGATAAAAGAGAGAAGAGCGAGTGGTTTCGTCTGGAATATTGGCAAAGTTGAAACATTTTATCCCTCTCCCGCTGCCAAATAAACGTTATTATTAATTTTCCGCGCGTTTCAACGACACCCTTTGAACGGGATAAAATTCGATACAACGACAAACAAATCCGATGAGAAACGATATCAAATTTATAACGTTGAATACTCGCTGCGCAGTAGATAACAAAGTGCGATTTTGTTAACAACGCGGAATTTATTTTCCATTTAAACGTATTTAAAAACAATTTTTTTTTTTTTTTCGGAATAATAATTTTAGCGCAGACAAAACCCGTGCGACGATATCTTCCGCGTGATGCAATTTAGCGCGCGAGTCGCGTTCATCCGGAAGATTGTGCGAAGCGAGTCTCAACACGCGATTTCATTAATTTTCTTAAAAAAGAGCAAAAAACAAGATAAACAAAGAGAATAGAGCTAAATCTCGTCTTTCCGACGAAAAATGACTCGTGTTCGGGAATTGATCGACACGACTATTCTTGATTTTTATCATCGCAATTGATTTTTATCATCACGTGAAAGACACGTCTGCGAAAAATCTCATCTCGCGCAAACGCGAACGATTTTATTTATTCGTAGCTTTACTCAACCTACCACGTGCTGGAGATCGGAAATATACGCGATTTTTTTTATCCGTTGCAAAAATGTTTTTTTTACTTTGCAATCATCAGCTACGACGATTGCGAAATAAAGAAAACATTCGCGTGAATTATTGTGATATATATAGCGAGTGGTTTTGTAATCGACCGTTATAGATTGAGTTTCTATTCCCATCACTCAATCGCAACGATGTTATTCTCGTCGTGAGCGAAAAAAAGATCAGATTTGGCACTTTTTCTTATTGGCGAGTTCCGATGTTCTCGCGTGTGAGTAGAAAAGTGAAATAAAAATAATATGAAAAGTGACGGTTACGAAAGCTGTATTTTTCGACGGCGCGAAATATAGATCGGAGATAGACTCGCGAATCTGACGATTTCCGAATCCCAGCGTGGGAATATAATATCTTGAGCGATGACACGGTGTTGTCGCGTCAATATTTCGTTTTACAACACGAAGTAAATTCTCTCTCGCTCGACATGTAACTTTTGGCGCAAAACGACGACGTTCGCACAATCGAAAAAAGAATAAAAAAAAAGTTCGTCCGCGTAGGTCCCTCCGGGACACTGCGCGGATGGGCGACCTTATTTTATATGTTAGAAAAAAAGTTATTAAGAATTAAATATCTTGGCCGCCGCAATCCGAAACGCTATATGTTGCGAGCGACTTCTTCTAACGCCTCTTCCTTCTCGCTCGCTCCCTCGATCATGTAAAGCTTTCTCGTGATAAATAATTTCTATTTCTCGTTGATATTTTTGCTGTGTGGGAAGATTTCAACCATCTTACCGGTGTTTCGCACATTCTTCACGTGTGTGTTGCCGCGCGATATAACGTTTTATTTTTTTTCTCCCTCATCTCCGTTCAGAGTAAGAAGATCTTATTATCTCATTCGTTTTTTATATTTTTTTCTTTTGTCATCTTTTATGAGCGACCAGGGAACATTTTTTTTTTTTTTTTTTTTCCGTACACGAGGAAGGATATTTAAAGATAAATCTTCGGGGATTCGACTGTTGCGCGATTTTTTATAATGTATCTACTTGATAACAATGTGGATGCGGTATCACGCGTGAATGTGTGCTTGCAATGATCGGTACTACACTTTTCGGATGATCAAATATCGATACTTTATTTAATTCGGGAAATTCCGAAACTCGTATCGTAATAATCTATCGTTGCCGGTCGGAGACTCTATTTCCGACTCTATTTCCTTCTTTAAGTGTCACTAAATGTAAGAAAGGAAAAAAGACAAATATATACACAGATACAAATATAACCGAGGATATATTTATAAAAACAACCACGTCGTTGTTTGATTTTCGACGATCCGAAACTTTATCGGCGAAATGTGTATCGTATCACAACGTTGTGATACGTTGACAAAAGTGTGTTATTTTCCCGCTTAATTTTTCGCACTTCGTACAAATTTTCCAATTCGTTTCGCGCTCCTGCATCGAGAGATGCAGGTGTTTTCAGACGCGAGCGCGCAAATATAGCCTTTCGATTAATTAGCGCGGAATGACGGGTCTCAATTAAATTTTCGAATTAACCGTCGACGCGCATTGCGCCACGTCTATAACCCCACTGCTACTATATTACTCGCGCCCGTGGTGGTACGTGCACACATACAGACAAATAAAAGTTTTCGCGCCCTCGCGGCGCATGTCGAACTTTTTTATTCACACGAATCCTGATTTAGTTATCCGATTCTCTTCTCTTTTTCTCTCATGTATGTGTGAAACGCCACGCGCCACTGCGGATGAGACGCGCTTTATCTTCATCGCTCGGCGATGCATCGCTGACGTTTTTTTACTCCTCTCGTCGCGGCCTCGCCGAAAAAGAAGCGGGTACAGCGAAAGATAGGACTGGCATTGTCTCGGGCAAGCGTTCTTCTCGCCTACGACTTGTACTTTGTACGAAAAGGCTACCGATCCGTGAATAAGATCCTCCCCGTGCCACTTGTCGCCGTTATTTTTACAGGAGGCTGCTGACACGGAGTAGGCAGGGTAGCGAGCGACCAAAGACTCGATCGAGACTCCCTATCGATTTGCCACAATCACCGAGCTCGCTTGTCACCCGTTCGGCCCCGCGTGGGTAGGTATGCGTGCGTATTTCCATACGTTGTTTCCACGGAAATACAGGCATGTGCGGTTACGTCGACACAGATGATGGTTATTCGCGGCGCGTAAAACTCGTAACGAGTTGCGAAGGGACGAGCTCGAGACTTTTTCGACGAAAAACGAAAAAGAACGAGCGTGGGAAAAGAAAGAGCGTTGAAAAAAATTTCGGCTAAGAGGATTGGGGATTAACTTCTGCGTCCTTTTTCGTCAGAGAGGAGGCTATATGTAACTCGGA